AATGAGAGGCAAGTGATCACCAATTGTACACACAATGGCTGAAGCTAATTTAGCATTGGATAATGGAAAGTTGGCAGTAGAGATATGTCTGTGCTTTCATGTGGTCTGTGGAGCATTCAGACGTCCCTCTGTGGTTGCTTAGTTAAAGCTGAAGTGTGTAATTTCTGCATCATTAGAGTCACCAAACAGAATTGCGAAAATAAAGACTGTTACCAAATGGGTTTTCTGAAGACTTTCAAACTTTGACTTCATTAGTTTAAGCCATTGTTGCTTGCTTTGCTAGGCTTGTTATGTCTCACTTAGTACATTTAAGATGAAATGATCTTCTAATCATGGTTATTCCTCTTGTTTGAGATAATTGCACGTTCCTGTGTTGATTGGAGTTAAGCGATTGGTTGATGATGCGACGCCTTATGTGCTTAAAAACATCTGGTTGAAGGCAGAAGTGAGACTCAAAATAATAAAATGTATTTTGGAACTTTTTTATGTTAGTTTGTCACCTACCCTCAGCATATTTACATTTATGCATTTGACACGCTTTTATCTGAAAAAAGTACAGTAGCGTTGAAGGCATCAGTTATGTTAGTATCATTTAGATACTATTATAGTTTTTATTAATTATATTTTGCATTTTCATTTTGGTTAAAGTTTTAGTAATTTTGTTGTTGTTTTTTCAGTTTTTGTTTTTAAAATGTCTATATTTTTTTTATTAGTTTTTATTTCAGTTTTAGTTATTTCCAGCTTCAGTTTATTTTATTTTATTTAAAGCAACAAAACTGTATTTTTTCTTATAGTTTTAGTTTTACTCTCAGTTAATTATAATAACCCCGAAATATATTTTTATCACTTCATACAGTAATTTTGCAGGATATTCGAGCCCATGATATCACTGTTTTTAAACTCTAATGTTTGAGCTTCGGGTAAGCCAAAGTCCTTTTAGGCAAGTCATGCCACTCGGCCGCCATCTTGGCAACGCCTCCGGGCAGCTATTTCGGACTAACAAGACCTAAATGAATGGGCAGAGAGTCAGAACTGCAGTTTTACTGTAGCCTAGAAATCTAGACGCACCCTAGCGGCAGCAAAAATCATTTCGCTGCCAGTGTGGTCTAGCAACTCTCCATAGACGTTTTAGCTGGAAAAACCAAAAACTGGTCAGGCCAATCACATCGTGTATAGAGTTGGTGGGCGGCCTTAACACAATGACGGCAGAGTTGCGACGGTCAGAGCAAGCTCGGACATATTCGGTTTGAAGTCATTCATCCTCGGATGCGGCGCCGCGCGCGCTGTTACAAAAAAGCTGTGGCGAAACGATCAACTTGTCATTTTTGCCGCACTCGTGCGGACGCGTCGAGTATAAAGGCTTTATTTACTCCTTGTCAGCGCGCGCTCTGATCGGTAAAGGACCTCCGAATCATCTCCAGCACTCCGAAGCACCACTACTCCGCCTCCGTTTCCCTCGTAAGCTGATATTAGTATTTAAACATTCTCTATGATATTATTATTTTAATGACAAAAAATGTTTTAATGACTCTTTCTCTCTCACACACACACACACACACACACACACACACACACACACACACACACACACACACACACACACACACACACACACACACACACACACACACACACACACATGTTGGTGCAACAGCATTATGAGGACTCTCCATAGGCGTAATGGTTTTTATACCGTAAAAACTATATATTCTATCCCTCTACACTGCCCCTATTCCTAAACCTACCCATCACAGGAGACATGCAGCATTTTTTATTTTTTAATAAAACATTGTTTTTCATGTTTTTTAAGCTATTTGATTTATGAGGACTTTTGAAATGTCCTCATAAACCACCCATAAGTTGTAATACCAGTGTAATACACATGTCATTATACAAATTTGTGTCCTCATAAATCACATAAACCAACTCACACACACACACACACACACACACACACACATACTGTCTCTTTCTCTCTCACACATAGGCTAGTTATAAACTCTTTAGACTTTTAATGATTAGTGTTTTATTTTTAAAGTTTGTGGGTCGTGTAAAAAACAAAAAAAATCCCTTATTTTGGGGATGGATTCCTGGAAATCTCCCTTATTTTCAATGTTCAATGTTGACAGCTATGGACTGGATACGGTAAAAGTTTAATATATCAACTTGCTCCGCTGACTACGTCCCCTTCTTCGTTGCTCTGATTGGTTGTAGCGCTATCCAATTGCGTGCTGAGAGAATTTGAAAGACAACCGTTTATCCCGCCCATCAGATTGAGCCCTGTCAATGATGAGTTCCCAGACCTAACATCTTGATGTAGGTCTGGCATGCCAGGCTAATTTACTGGTCACCGGGAGGCGAATTTTTTTTGTGCAGGATGGTAGGGGAAGACTCATGAATATTCATTCCCCTAACCGTCACTGGGGGTCTGATGACCTACCCCTAACCCCGCCCCTAAACCTACCCGTCACTGGGGTTCTACTCCTAACCCCGCCCCTAAACCTACCCGTCACTAGGGTTCTACTCCTAACCCCACCCCTAAACCTACCCGTCACTGGGGTTCTACTCCTAACCCCGCCCCTAAACCTACCCGTCACTGGGGTTCTACTCCTAACCCCGCCCCTAAACCTACCCGCCACTGGGGTTCTACTCCTAACCCCGCCCCTAAACCTACCCGTCACTAGGGTTCTACTCCTAACCCCGCCCCTAAACCTACCCGTCACTGGGGTTCTACTCCTAACCCCGCCCCTAAACCTACCCGTCACTGGGGTTCTACTCCTAACCCCGCCCCTAAACCTACCCGCCACTGGGGTTCTACTCCTAACCCCGGCCCTAAACCTACCCGTCACTGGGGTTCTACTCCTAACCCCGCCCCTAAACCTACCCGTCACTGGGGTTCTACTCCTAACCCCACCCCTAAACCTAACCGTCACTGGGGTTCTACTCCTAACCCCGCCCCTAAACCTACCCGTCACTGGGGTTCTACTCCTAACCCCGCCCCTAAACCTAACCGTCACTGGGGTTCTACTCCTAACCCCGCCCCTAAACCTACCCGTCACTGGGGTTCTACTCCTAACCCCGCCCCTAAACCTACCCGTCACTGGGGTTCTACTCCTAACCCCGCCCCTAAACCTACCCGTCACTGGGGTTAAGACCAATCAGGGATGACTTCCTTAATGAATATTCATGAGTCTTCCCCTACCATCCTGCAAAAAAAAAATTTGCCACCGGGACATAAAAACTGCTTGTATAGAAACTGCAGTAAAATAAAAATCGCTGAAAAAGTTTGATGACTTTGCACCAAAATAAGGTTTAAAACGCCTTTTTCCCCACAGGTTATACTTTTACTACGCATGCGCAAGGGTTCTCTCCCTCGGTCGTGCGCGCGCTACACAGTTTGAAGCACAGTGTGTGTGAGCTCTTGCTTGCTCGCTCTAGATTCCGGGAGATTTGAACTAATTTGCGGGCATCAGGGAGCCGCTATCAATCTGCGGGAGACTTCTGATGTCTGATATTTACACAACTCACACATACACTGCATATCAAATCTGCCGCCTTTTCAAACAGTAACGTATTTTGCGCTGTTGCAAACCTCAACTGTGCGCATGCGTCAGTGGAACCAGACGATAGGCTTAAATGTTTCCCGGCTTGACTGTTAAAAGCAGACGATTGGCTTTCCAGCGGGAGGGGCGGGGCATGTGCATACAACCGCCATCTTTGGCGTTACGGGTTTTAAGGATTGATGAAGTGGCATGTCTCTATATAAATAGTCTCTGGGTAAGCACACAAAAAGTGCTTTTCCATGCTTTTTGCTTTTTTTTTAAATAATTCCTATTTAATTTTTTTTAACAATATAGTTGTTTGTTTAATACCATTTGTTCTCTGTGTGAGAATTATTAGTCTTAAAGGTTTCCTTTTTTACCTGATTTTTTTTCTGTGTGATATATAATTTTTATTGAATCCAATAGGGATTCAATATGACCTGCACCATACAAGTTGTACCCAGAATTTTTCACCTAAATCAAAGGATTAAACACAAGCCTGGACTCTGGGAAACAAGGTTGTTGTTGTTGTTATCAGCCAGGCCAGCACTGGCCTACATTGCACATGTATGCCATGGTACAGTGCTTGACCCTCAGGCGGCTATTATTCACATTTCGATTAGGTTGATCTTTCCACCCGCTCTGATGAGCTCCGTGTTGAAGGTTTTATTTTGCTTTGCATCTCATTTTATCATTTTAGTTTCATCTGCGGCTTCATTTGTAATTCCTGAAAGACTACTTAGAGTTTCAAGGATGATTCGAATAAGCACCGTATCACTTTACGTTTCACGAGAGCAACAGAACTATTACAAAGACCAACTCAGTGCTTTTGTTGCTTCACTTAATATTTGCTCTTATGAGATCCCCTATATGATAAGTTTACTTTGTGCGTCAGATCAAAATCTATAAAGAGGTGTGTTCCACTGAGAAGAATGTAATGCTCATTGACGTACAATACTCGTGTCCTAATAGTCCAGACCGGCCTCTCCAGTCCCCCGGGGCCTAAAGTAATTGATCCTACTATCGTTAGCTCCATGCTAATCCATCATTGAACCGCTCGTTTACAGTAGAGCCACTGTATTCCCTCTCCTCTCATACACACAAAAGTGGAGCAGGCTACAACAGTTTCCCTGCACAATGCTGCACATGCGCCGGAGCGTATCATTTACTGTCCATTTCCATCAGTGCACACCGGACTAACTTTAGGGTCTGTTATGGGGAAGATAAAAAAATGGAAGCTTCCTTCAGTGTCACACTTCGCCACCGTGAGGGGAAAGTCGCGGTCCAGGCGGAAGAGCGTCGAGGGTCTGTGCGCAAGCACTCTTTTAGGGGTTTTGCACACTAGAACCTGGTTACTGGACGCGCAGTGTGTGTATCTGCTGGAACAGACTCAGGCGGGACCCACTCCTCCTCCTCGTACTCAATCGCTCTGCTCTTTCTCTCGCACCTCCTCTGCAGATGGCGGGAACGAGGATACCGTAGACCTGCAGAGCACCAGCTTGGAAACCCTTCACAACTTCACTGGACAAGGTAAGCCGTGGTTCAGGTGCCGTACATATGTTACAACTTAGCCTAGTTGCGACGTAAAGGGGCACTTCACACTGCTAAATATTCCTTCATTGCACCATTAAACTTAGTGTGTTTGTCCCTCTTTGAGTATGAGCGCTGAATTTTCACTATACGAGCCAAAAAAGCCTGACGTATAACATAAAACTTTTTAAATACTGATATATATATATATATATATATATAAATATATATATATGGTTCAATAAATTGTTCCGTTTCAAAAAAATTATATTTCGGACTATTATTTCATGTCACGCTTTAGAAGGTTAAACAAGTCTTAATACTTGCCCTACTGTAATGTTTTTTTTTTTTTTTGCCGATTAATTACATGCGTTCTTCATCTCATGTGTCCACCAATCCTGTAGGTGGCAGTATAGACAGTGACTGTGCCTTTGAGGGGGACTATGCTGTGCCTCCGCTTTCCATGGCTGAGGGGCTGCAGCACATCCGTATCATGGAGGGATTGTCCCGATCTCTGCCGTCATCACCGCTGCTCATCCACCAGACCTCCAGAGCTCTGCCGTCCGCGAGGAAGGTGTTCGGTGTGGCCACAGGTACCGGACTCTCTCAGTCATGATACCACAGTTCCTAATGCCAGCATAGGGGTGTACTTAGGTGACACCATCGCATATCTGAAATGTTCAGAAAGTTTAAAATTTTAGTACCATCATGCGAAGAGCCTGAGATTCTCCTATTTTATTTTATTTTATTTATTTATTTATTTTCATTTTTATTTATTTATTTATTTATTTTATTATTTTATTTATTTTTTTATTTACCCTTTCACATTTCCAGGGTTCTTAGAAACGGAAGTTGCCGTAGTTAGGTGAACTTCTATAGTGGTGAATGGATACAACAACAAATATCATTTTTGCGCTCCCATTTGCTTCAAATCCAAAAAACAATCGACAATTGCATTTTTATGACTTTCCAAAAGAGGAAAAAAATATTGAGGGATTAATTATGTTGGTCAGAAGAGGGAAAACGTATTAGCTGATGAATTAGAAACTCTCACATCAGCGTTAACTACTAACCCATTTCCAAAAAAAAGTTGGGATATTTAGTAAAATGCTATAAAATAAAGAATCTGTCATTAGTTCATTTTTATAAAAAAATCAAATTAAAAAAAAATGTCGGCGCTGATAGCCTTGTGGGTTAGTGTGCCGACATGTAGCCGTTGTGCTTCGGGCGACCCGAGTTCGAGTCCCGGCTCGTGGAGCTTTCCCGATCCCGTCCCCCTCTCTCTCTTCTCACTTCTTAATAAAAGGCAAAAACGGCAAAAATAAATCTTTAAAAAAAATATATATATATATATATATATATATATATTATTCAGTTTATTTTTATGTAACTAACCAAAGTACAAAGAAAAGATTTCCAATGTTTTCACAGACCAACTTTTTGATTTTGATGGCTTCAACACACTCCAAAAAAAGTTGAGACAGAGTCATGTTTACCACTGTGTCACATCACCTTTCATTTTATTGCACTTTTTAGTCGTTTGGGAATTGAGGATCCTAATTGTTGCAGTTTTGCAAGTGGAATTTTTGCCCAATCTCACCTCATGCAAGACAGCTGCTCCACAGTCCGTGGCCGTCGTCTGATTCTCGTCTTCATGATGGGCCCGACAGTACATCTTCAAGAGGAGACAGATCTGGACTGCAGGTGTAGTGTCTATGAAAGCCATCTATTGTAGCACGTGCAGAACGAGGCCTGACATTGTTTTCCTCTTATAACCATACACTTCCCAAGAAAGATGTCATCTTGATGGCAGTAGAACAAAAAAAAATCAAAAACGGGATCTCTTTAACACCTCAAATGTTTCTCCTAGACAATGAGGCTTCTTTAAGATCCTGCTTCTCACACTTGTCTCCTGAGGCAAACACTCTAACACTCTCATAACGGACAGTTGTGTTTAAAGTTTTAGAAGATCTCGACAACCTCACACACTGTGCTCAGATTTTTCTTTTCAGCTAGAGAAAGCGATCGCTCACATTTGTCTCCTTTAAACTTAGAAGAGACCTCAACAACCTCACACACTGTGCTCAGATTTTGTTCCTGAACTAAAGACTCCAGTGGTCTCATGTTTGTCTCTTTTAAAGTTTAGAAGAGACCTCAACAACCTCACACACTTTTTCTCCTATAATATGTATATGTGCAGCCTCTGAAGTCTTGAAAGAGATTACAGCAACCTTCTTCCACAATCTCAGTTTTGACTCTTTTTCTCTCAAATATTTCTCACGTCTCATTTGTGTCTATTTTTATTTCTCCTAAGAAATTTTAGGAGAAACATCTGAAATGCTGTTGATACTAAAATGAGAGATGAGAATCACAACTAAGTCTCCTGAGCTTAGGAAAAGCAACCACTGAGCAATACATTTTTCCTCTGGGATATCTCTCTGTACAATCCCAGTACACACCTCCACATCAGTGGTACCTTCACACATTTGCAAGTCAGCCATGCTGTTTGCACTGATGATGACGATGAGAGATGTTTGCTTTCGCACCTGTCACTGATGAAAGTCTGGATGGTCCCTTTGGTCTTTGGGATTGAGAACTCGATGTCCATTTTTCCCAAAACCATGCGGAAACGTGGACTCATCTGAACATATTCCCACTGTCTTCTAGACCATCTGAGATGATAACCTCGGGGCCGGAGAACTCGACTGCTTCTCTGCATAGATCTGGCTTTTTCCTTGCGTAACAGATTTAAGTTGCATATCTTGATGCAGCACCAGACTGTGTTAAGTGACAGCGGTTTCCCAAAGTACACCCGATGTGGCTGTATTTAACAGAGCAGCGTGACGGTTTCTCATGCAGAGGACTCAAAGGTCACGCACATTCAACAGAAGTCTCCTGCCTTGCCATACATGTACTGAGATTGATCTGGATTCCCTGAATCTTTTCGAAATTCTTTGCAATCTTGCCTTGAGCAATGAGATTTTTGAATCGTTTAACAATTCTCTCATGAAATTTGACACAAAGTGGTGAGCCATGATTCTCCTTTTATGCCCAAACACGCTAACCCTCATCTATGACCAATTCACCTGCTCATTGTGGACTGTTTCAAAATAGTTTAACTTGGATATTCTGTAATCTTTTCAGATTGTGTTGCAGCCATCAAAATCGTATTTTTTTTTTTATATATATACTAAATACAATTAAAGGGATAGTTCCCTTTGGAATTCATTTTTGGTGTGTTTTAGCTTACCTCAAGGGCATCCAAGATGTAGGTGTCTTTGTTTCCGCAGTAGTTTCAATTTTGATATTTTTAGGTCAAACCGTTCTTGTCTGTCAGTCATATAATGCAGGTCTATGGTCACCACCTCAAAGAGCATGACCAGAGAAGTCCAAATTAAACATGATTTAATGACTCGTAAATGTAAGTACACATTGATGGCCTAAGACACGAAACGAGCGGTGTGTGTGAGAAAACCAACAGTATTTATATCGTTTTTACCTCTTGTAAACACAGCCACGTCCAAGTGATCTGAGGGCGCCGGCGCTTCGGTCTGCGCAAGCGCCGGAAGTGATCTCTCGCGCGTGTACGTCACTCATACAATTGTTTAATTTTTTATTTATTTTTATTGTTTTCTTTTAAACATCCCGGATAAGCGCAAATTAGTTCCATTTTAATTAGCTGTCTTACCTACAATCTCTGTTCTGTGTAAACAATGAGTGACGTACACGTGCGAGAGATCACTTCCGGCGCTTTCCGGAAAAGACCGAAGCGCCGGCGCCCTCAGATCACTTGGACGTGGCTGTGTTTACAAGAGGTAAAACGATATAAATACTGTTCATTTTCTCACACAAACTGCTCGTTTCGTGTCTTAGGCCATCAATGTGTACTTACATTTACGAGTCAATAAATCATGTTTAATTTGGACTTCTCTGTGCATGCTCTTTGAGGTGGTGACCATAGACCTGCATTATATGACTGACAGACAAGAACGGTTTGACCTAAAAATATCAAAATTGAAACTACTGCGGAAACAAAGACACCTACATCTTGGATGCCCTTGAGGTAAGCTAAAACATATCAAAAATGTATTTCAAAGTGAACTATCCCTTTAACCTGATCTTTGAAAACATTGGAAATGTTTTCTTTGTACTTTAGTTGGTTAAATAAAGGTTCAAGATAATTAATAAATCACAAATTCTTGATGTTATTGCATTTTACAAAATGTCCCAATTTCCTGGAAATGGGGTTGTAGTTTTCTGTAATTTAATGCCAAGGTAATATAACACAATGTATTATTTGAAAAGACTGTTACATTTGTGCTATGTTGTTATATAATGCATTTTTAAATGTGCAGTTTGGGTGTCCAAATACAGTGTATTTGCGGTTGGATGTGTCCACTAGGGTGTGCCAGAAGCTCGAACAGCAGAATGCCATTTTAATGATTGTGTGTATTTTGTGTTTGTTTGCAATCATTTATCAAATATGAAATGTGTCTGAATGTTGGTTTAGACACAAAAAAGAGTTCTCATTATAAACGACTGCATTCTTTATCAAGAAGAGTCGATCCGTGCACTTTCATCTGTTGTGAAATCAAGTGCATTGTGGGAGTTTTACTGAAAAGGACAGCGGTGTTGTGTATATGAGTCACTCAGTGGTTCTGTTATTGCTGTGTGTGATGTTAATGTCTCTCACTGCTCTGATTTAAGGTTCACTTTCATCCAGATTGGATGATTCGTTTCTGAGTCTGGACTTATAGTTTAAGTTTACAGAAAACAAAATGGCAGTATAGTGTCATTTGTATAAAAAGAGGGGGAAGGGAGAAAGATAATGTTCTCCCACCCGCAGATACTTAGGAGCCAATACTTTTAACAATTTAATTCCAGAAAGCGACCTAAAAGATGAATGGTTAGAGAGTAATCTAAACCTTGTTTAGGAGCCTCAGAAAAGTGTTTTTACCAATTTGGAGGTCTTCTACATTCGCTCCCAGCATTAATTGCAGTGTGTTTTTGCCGACTGATTTGTAATTCTCCAGTGTAAGCAGTGTTGCAGAGCATCTCATCTCTGCTAATGAAAGTCAGGCCTCTTTATGAACGCCGTTTCATCCCATTTTTCATGCATTTTCTGCATATTCATGAGAACCTAATCAGGTTCTTTTGCATTTAAGAACCGTCCTGTTATGGAGAAAATATACCATGAACTGAGAATGAAACGGGTATATGTTCAGTAAATATAGATGAAAGAAAATCATGTCCTTTGTGGTGTGAAAAAAATGATACAATGAATGATCTTCTATTATAAAGGATATATTTGGATCCGTTCCACTTTGTCAGTTTGGTTTATAATTCGATGAAAACATACCTGTATTCACAGTTTCATGTCACCCAAATGGCCACATAATGACTTTCTAAATGGAAGATGGCTATTTTTTTCTTAGATAATCTTTCATATTTCAAATAGATGTATTTTCTTCAAATCAGGTCACTTTTTGAAAGCTTGCTTCATAGTGTGACAAGACAACATGCCCTGCTAAGGGAACTGTACTTCTTTTTTTCTGGGTGATAATTGTGATTGGAAAGATTCAATACATTTCCA